AAAAAAAAAAAAAAGAAAGAAAATAAAAAAGAAAAATGAGGGAGTTGGCTTGAATAGTCTGAAAAGTAATTTCCAACACTAATATTTTGTGATTAATTATCTACAAGTCAGTGTGCTAGCAAGAGATCCCTGCAGAGTATCTACAGAGAACAATATTCTCTAGAGTTTTATCCAACTACTTGTTCCATTCTGCTACCAAAGAAATTCCTAAGAGAATATATAACAAGCAAATAAATAAGTGCCAGATTTTAAAGTCTCACTCCATATGCTGTACTTTTGCTTCCAGAGATAGCTGTTCAATTTTGGTGAAAAGTAGCTTATCTTTATTTTATTACTTGCAGAAGCAGTTTTCTACAAACATAATCACTACTTTAAAAAGTCCAGTTATGGGGACTCCATGTTTGGATCCCCTTCCAGGAACACTCTTGTGCTCATGGAAGCTGTTTTTCTCTATCCTGGATTTCCCCTCTGGAGTCCTCTTCCACGAACACTCCCTTCGTGGGTGGAAGCTGGTCTTCTCCTCCTAAACTCCATCTTTCTCTATTCCCTTCCACTCAGTATGGAAGCTGCTTTCCTCTACTGGATTCCATATTTCTGGATTCTCTCACTCAGTGTGAGGGTCAGCTGTTTATTTCTCTCTCCTCCTGTTTTTCTCTCTCTCTAAATAAATCACTTTCTATAAAAAAAAAAAAAAAAAAGTCCAGTTATGAAAGAGCTCTAAACAAAGAGTTGAAAGTTGAAGGGGCTAACTATAGTCTATAGGCCATCTGTCAAAAACCAAAAAACGAACAAATAAAACTGAAAATGAAGCAGAAATAGCTACTTTTTTCTTTCTTTCTTTCTTTCTTTTTTTTGTAGAGGCAGAGTCTCGTTCTGTCACCCAGGCTGGAGTGCAGTGGTGCGATCTTGGCTCACTGTAACCTACGCCTCCCAGGTTCAAGCAATTCTCCTGACTCAGCCTCCCATGTAGCTGGGACTACAGGTGCACACTGCCACACCTGGTTAATTTCTTTTGTATTTCAGTAGAGATGGGGTTTCACC